CAGCTTCAAAGGGCTACAACACCAGACGATGAATAAGGTTCTTATCTAGGACCCTTTGAGTCATGACTCGAAAAAAGATTTGTTCATTTTGATGAACGAGTTTGAACAGGAGAGTCACGAACGCTCATAACATAACAGAGCAAGGCGAGCATTTGTGCTTATAAAACTTAAACTTTTTTATTTATTTTTGAAATGACAGATCGTTTCGCTAGAGAAGACCCTTATTCATCGTCTGGTGTCGTTTAAAGCCCTTTGAAGCTGCACTTAAACTCTAATTTGGATCTTGAACCGTTTGGTTCCCAATGAAGTCCATTATTTGAAGAAAATCCTGGAATGTTTTCATCAAAAACCTTAATTTTTTTTCGACTGAAGAAAGAAAGACATGGACATCTTGGATGACATGGAGGTGAGTCAATTATCAGCAAAAGTTTTATTTTTTTTTAAAAGTGAACTACTCCTTTAAGGCCATTGCACACAGAGTACGAAATTTTCGTATGCGTTTTTTCGTGTTCGTCAGCCTAAAAATTCGTCATGCAGAGAAACCTTGCACACTCAGTCTGATGCGTATTTATTAAACCTTTGCGGGAAAAAACACAAAAATGCAAAATGGATTCGTCAAGCAGTGAGGATGATTTTGTTGTCCTCTCTCTTATTGAAAAGAGAAGAAAGAGAAAATATTACGTCCATACAATCCTGAAACTGCGCCTCCGCTAAGCAACTCCTTATCAAGTAGTTGCGAATTTATCCCAAGCGATTCAAAATTTACCTCAGAATGTCAGTGGAAGAGTTTGATGCTTTGCTTGCGATTCTGGAGCCACATTTTAAAAACAAGATCACCAATTTCCTTGAACCAATCGATTCTGAACATAGACTGTCAGTATGTCTAAGGTATGGAAACACACACACACACACGCGGGGCAGACAGAACAGCTGTATAGGCTACAGGTTATTGTACCCAAATAATACATTAGTTATCGAATTGGCATTAATCGATCCGAAATTTCAATCTGATTGAAAGGGGAGGTTATTCCTTTCATAATCCAATCGAGAGAAGAGAACATAAACACTTGATCGAATTGAAAACTGAAACTGATCGCACTGCGCATGTGCAATGATGTGCGGAACGAGCTCCATAGACAGTAACGAGCTCCCCCCGGCCCTGAATTGTCGAAAAAACCTCTCAAAATGCTGGCTGTGGATGCGAAAAACGCAGAAAATCGAACCCGATCCGAATTTTTTTATGATGGATGAAAGTTTCGGAGGCTGTGTGCAAGCGTGATTGACATAACGTGGGGTCGATTTATGACGAAAACATGGATCAACATCGGCAGAGCATTTGAATTATGGAGAGACCTCCACTATTTTTATTGTGATGAATTGCAAGTTTTCAGATATGCTGAAATAATGGTGAACTGTAATGAAATAGCAAGGTAAACTTGAGACATAACATGAATACAAAAGACTGTTCCAAGATAATAAAAAGTAGGTGCTTTTAGGATGTAACTTTTATTTTATGTACTAGATCTACTGTCTAGCGTCACTCATCCCACTACTATCATATTGTTTATAATACACATTTCCAGACACGTTCAGTACAGTAATGGTACTTTATACGATCTTACAGTTACACTGAAATTGTTCAGTCTAGTTCACTAACCGTTTTCGTTATCATATTATACATTCACCTATGTTGACATTGCTGATTGTGAAAGATACACGAATAGTTAGCCTTATGCTAGATAGCACCACAAATGTAACGTTATCATGGTACGAGCATGGAGCATTAGTTAAGCTGACGTCAAGCTGATAAAAGTAGCCTATTGTAATGTTGCAGTGGGAGTTTACATGAGTTTCCTGCATGTTGTGTGATGCTTTCTCCGGTGTTTTGAAAGTCTCAGTGCGGCCGTGTACCATGAGTGCTCGCTCTTGTGTTCGAGCATGCGCAAGAGCACGAGCGCTTTTGTAAAAATTGGTTGCAATCTGAAACATCACCGATAGAGGCCGCTAAAAAATACATATAGCACCTTTAAAAGAAATGTTGAAATATTTCCTGGCACGGAATAGCAGTCATCAGTGATGTTAGGAAACCGGCTTTTGGTTATGTATTGTGTAGCGTTTGTTTGTTTATTTATCGGTCTGTTTACATATTCCCTTCCATTAGTTAATTATCGAGGCGCACAGATGCCATGTAGGTGTGCTATCAGGACGTTTAATGAGAGGGCCACGGGCAGTACTTTCATTCCTCAGCGCTCAGATGTGCCTGTAATTTCTCAAGGCTCAGACATGCTCCTTTCATTTCACTTATTTCCATTCGCCGCATTTGGATTTTGGCCCTCATCTTTCTGTCCCTCATCTCATCTCATCTCTCCCTCTCTTCCCCTGGAGTCTCTGTCGTTCATGTTGGTTACCCTGCATGCTTCCCCCCCACACACACACACACACACACACATACCCAGTTATTCTTCCCATCTGCATCTGTAATTACTAGAGGAAGGAATTATGGCAGGCACCTCTGAAGCCATTACAGTCGAACGCTGCTCCCTCCTCACATACAAATGAGCTGCTGTAACCACACAGGAATAGGATTAGTTCAGCAAGTCTTTATTTCTTTGCCCTAAAGGACTGCCAGTGATTATTTTTAGTATTTTATATATATTTTATAGGGCTGCCCTTAGGAAGCTTGTTTCCAACACAGAATGAAAAATAAAACAACTTTTTATCTCACGATTCGGACTTTTTTTCCTCACAATCGGCAGTTTGCATCTCGCAATTCTGACTTTATTTCTCAGAATTGCGAGATATAAAGTCATAATTGTGTGATATAAAGTCGCAATTCCGTGTTATAAAGTCAGAATTGCGAGATACAGTATACAGGGTCCCCGTGGGTCCTTAAAAAGTCTTAAATAAAATTTTCACTTTTTAAGGCCTGAAAATGTCTCAATATCTGAAATTTCCGATAAGGAGGTCTTAAATTTCACGGACGGACCTTAAATTTCTTGTCCAACTCGTCATCCATTTTTTTGTTTTGTTAACAGACCGTGTTTACGAGCGTTCATGCTTTAAAAAATTGGAGAACCACTGAATTAAGGAACAGGGATCTATAGAATTGCACAAGTGCTACTGCAAAATAGTGCATTGTCAATACAGCCTGTTTCCTTGATTCAAATGTCTCATAAGCTTAATTGAGTTGGCCTAAATTGAAAAATTATAATGTAATTTTTTGTCTAAAGACTACATATAAAATAGCTACCAAAATTAATGTCGGTAACTGAAGTTTGACTAAAAGTAATGAATAAAAGTTGACATAAAATGCAATGACTTTGTCAACTAAAACTAGACTAAAACTATGAAAGACAAAATTACTGACTAAAATGTGACTAAGACCAATAAGCATTTTCATCTGAAGACTAAGACTAAAACAAAAATGGCTGCCAAAATTATTAAATTGTCGTGTCGTTCTGAACATTTTCCTTTTTTGTCGTAGTTGGTAAATCTTAAATTTGCCTTTTAGAGGACTTAAAAAGGTCTTAAAAGTCATTGAATTTGCTTTTAAGAAATGTGCAGATACCCTGGTAAGTCAGAACTGATTGATATAAAGTCGCAATTGCCTGTTTTAAAGTCAGAATTGTGAGATATAAACTGTTCTGAGGGGAAAACAGGTTTCTAACAAATTTTATCTTAGTTTTTGTCCAACTCCATTGACTTGACTTGGAAAAAAAAAATATGATAAAACCTGTTGGAAAGCATCTTTTGCTGCGATTTTTGTATGAGCATATCAGAGAACACCCCAGACCACTCGGCGAGTTTCACATCTTTGTAAACTAAAGTTTAATGCGTAAATAAGGATTGTTCCTGTGCACCTATGCAACCATTGTGGAGGTGGGGAGCTGCAACCACAGAAAACGAAAATCCTCGGGCCAGCAGCATGTGTCTAAATTTCAATCTTAACCATTGTATTTAATCAGAAACAATCAAAGTGTAAAATACCAAACTTGTCCTTTAAGTCAACAATACTGACTCATAATCTCCACGTGCCTATATGCACGTTTCATACGGATTACATAATCGGAGAATATTTAAGTTCATTTAAATGTTAAATAGATATATTTTTATATTTTTCATGTCTGTGAGGAAAGCATATGCTGAGTTTCGTTTCAATTATGTGATGCTCGCAAGTTCTAGAACGAAACGACAGAAAGCGTCATTATTTTACAAAAACACAACTTTTTTTTCTTGCGACTAAATGACTAATAAAATTCAACTGGTATTGGCAGCCTTAATATTCAATATTTTATTATTTTATGTAAAGGCAAATTATATTAATTCTAGAGGTTTTAAAGGATTAGTACACCCCAAAATTAAAATTTAAAATAAATGTAGTCTACTTATTATATTACTTACTATATATATATATATATATATATATATATTATAATAACAAAACTTAATTTTTAATTTTTAACATTTTAACATTCATATTGTATGTACCATACAAAAGTTTGGGATCAGTATGATTTTTTGAAAGTTTTTGAAAGAAGTCTGTATATGTTATGCGGCTGTATATGTTTGATCAAAAATACAGTATAAACACTAATATTGTGACATATTTTTTTGTGATTTATATTTTTTTAAATATAGATTACAAAATTTGATTTAGTCATGTGAAGGCAAAGCTGTGTTTTCAGCATCATTACTCCAGTCTTCAGTGGTGTTTTGCTGCTCAAGAAACATTTCTTATAATTATCGATGTTGAAAACATTTGCTTCAAATGAATGAATAGAAAGTTCAGAATAACAACATTTATTTGAAATAGGATAAATCTTTGATTACATTACAAATAAATCACTAAATAAAAGTGTTAATTTTGTTAATTTAATTTTTGTAGGTGTAACTTTTGAATGGTACAATTATTTTATTTACTTTTATTTATTTTTTATTTTTTCCCTTTATACCGAATGAAATAAAAATCCATGATCATGAACACATGTCTCTGTTTTCAGGCCACTGATCCTGATGCCGGACTCAACGGTCAGGTCCGATACCGGCTGCTCACCTTTGTGTCTCTGTTCACCATAAACGCCACGGGCAGCATCTTCACAGCTGTGCCGTTGGACAGAGAGACTCGCAGCCGATACGATCTGATCGTGGAGGCGTCAGATGGGGCGGTTGACCCCCGCAGGACCACCATCACGCTGCTGGTGGAGGTGATAGACATCAATGACAACAGCCCAGTGTTTTCCCTGCCCACCTACACAGTCAACGTCCCAGAGAACACCCCGGCTGGAACCGTCATCCTGAGACTCAGTGTAAGCGTTCTGCTCACATTATGCTTGACTCATCCATAGCTCAGTAGTCCCATTGTGTAGTGCTCTCATATCTAAAACTGCATGAGTTGATGTTGATGAGTGGCTCACTCATAAACAGTGAACTGTGAAATTTCTACGTCATCAGTCAACCTCAGTTTGACCAGGCATCTTTAACGTGACTTTTAGAAAGGAAGTAAAAACAGATTGCTTGTAGGTGTGTGTGTTTATTTATGGGTCTGTCTGTCTGTGTTGTGTCTTCTGGCCTGACAGTAACTGGCTGATTATGTGTGTTTAGTTTCCCCTGAGATTGTGGGGGAAAGCATCTCTGTTTATTCCTGACGGCTGCATATTTAACTAGATAAATATTGACAGGCTTGACAGACCCAGTGTGAAAAGGAGGCGATGCTGTTTTGTTGTAAATGTGCCTCTAAACGATCACGCTCTTGGGAGTTTTAGCAGAACGCCAACAACACGATCACCAATGAATTTTAAATAAACTAGAGACTAAAATCAGCAAAAAGTGTCAGTGACAAACTCACTAACTGTTAGGCCACTTTAATGTGTAAAACTCTCTTATTTTGATATCACGGGCGGTCCAACTTTTAAGGGATAGTTCTGTCATTTTCATCTGCCACTCTCATGTCTGTCAGCTGAGGTTTATTTTGTTGATGGCTAAAGTCATTTTAGCCAGGCATTTTGGGGGGATTTTTTTCTGATCCTCTCACGAAATCTAAGCATTGGTGTAGGCAGACAACCGGATGGAGGTGAACACAAAGGAAACTTTATTACAATGAAAGAAAACCATAACCAAACTCATGTGTGTTAAGGAACACAGAAACAAGGTAACAAACAAGGAGAACTAATTAGACCACAGCGGAACTAGATGAATAATCAAATAACTACTTTGTAAAGAAACACTTTTAAAAGAAAAACTACGCGCCTATAAAATAACGGTATCGCTTTCTAAAAGTGTGCACTTTGAAACCCGTTTTAAAGAATTTGGCCCCTAAAGGCCTGTTCACACCGGGACGAATTTCGCGCGCGATATTCGTCGACGTTTAACGCCTCGTGACTAAACAATGGGCGCTAATGTGAGTGTTCACACCGACGCGAAAAACGCCACGTGTAAAAGCGTCATTTTAAAAAAAAACGCCTCGGGTTCGTTTTTTTGGTTTGAAAACCTAAACCTATCCGACCAACGAGATTGGCGGTTTTGCTCACGTGTCTGGTACTTCTGAAGTTACAGTAAAACACAACTTGGGGGCGCTCAAACACAAAACGGTCTTGCCGAGCACACATACGGCGAAGAAGAGATAAGATAAATGGGCAAGATGAATGTTGAGCTGCTGGTCTCGGAGCATAAAGAGCTATATGATGATATTTATTTTAGTATTTCTGTAATAATACTATAGTATAGGGTGACGAACAGTCCTGTTTTCCCAGGACACGTGTAAAACGGTCACTTTGTGCTTTATAGAAATCTGAGTTGAGATGAGAACTGCGCATAGTGTGCTTAGTGTCAGTTAGATTTTGACAAGTGAGGAGAGGAGATAACCGCTCTGCCGACTCTTTGTATTCTTTCTTTTATTTTATTTTTCTATTGTGACCAGATGTTTGTTTGTGTTTTTTTTTTCTCTCGCTCGATCCGACGATCCCCATGTATGAGGACGAGTGTAACGTTTCAGTGGTTTTATTAAACGCGGGGAAATACGACGTGCATCTGTTCATCCGACAACTAGTGCTATGTTTTTATTTCTGGGCAACATCTCAACTTTACGTTACACATGTCCTTCACATGTCCTGGCTGTTTGTAAGTGATAAAATGTCCTGGTTTTCAAAAAAAAAAATGCTGGGGAAGATCAGTTCTACAGCAAAATATAGATGGGCAAACAAAGGTGGATGAGGAACAAAAACAGGATAAAGAGGATGAAAACTAAAGATTTTGTTAGTTCGTTTTTGTAAGTTTGTGAGAGCTATTTTTGTTACATTTGGAGGCATTTCTTTTAGTTATTTATTATTTATATATTTATTTTTCTAATACAGAAGACATTATTTCTATCATTATTTCATTCGTTTTTTTTAATCTGTCATAATAAAACATTGAGACATGAATATGATCACCCTAGTATAGTATTCTATTATTATTTCTGTTTTACATTAAGCGCCATCTAATGTCAGGGAATGAATTTGCATGTTCACTCGGCTCATCGTCAGCGAAAAACGCTTGGGTGTGAACACAAAAAACGCGTTGAAAAACGCTGACGAATAAAGCGCTGATATTCGTCCCGGTGTGTATGGGCCTTTAGTCTGCATGGTTTGTGAAATTAAATGTTTATTAAATATTCAATGCATATTTGCTGAATGCAGACGACAAATGAGAAAGTATAACAGTGTTTGCCTCTCTGTCACTATTCAGTGTTGGGAGTAACGCATTAAAAAAGTAATACATTACAGTAACATATTACTTTGTGCTGTAACGCAGTAGTGTAAGGCATTACTAATCAATTTTCAGTAATATTTTACTCGTTACATGTTCAGTCAGGCTTGTATTACAGTTGTATTACAGTGTATTTTACTTCTTAAAGGCAACAGACTATGTGAAAGTTTTAAAACAGTCTTTTTGTGCCAGTTCAGAGCGGTCGCGTCTGTAACATTGTTTTTTCCTCATAAATGCGAACACGAAAACTAAAATGCCAACCCTTCCTCATCCGATTTGCGCAGTGTAATTAACAGAATTACAAAAAATATATTTTGCCTCCAATTTTTTTTTTGTCACGCATGAATGTGTGTCTTTTCCCTAATATTAAAAATAAAACATAGACTGATATTTGTCTAATGCCTGTCTTTTAAGTAGCCTATATATGTTTCAATGCGTGTATTTTCTGAGAATTTTTATTTCAAGTTTTGACTGCAAATGTCATGTCCATAATGCTGGACTTCCCCAATTTTAAATAATTTATCCTCAACTAGTTTTGTGGTCTAGGTCTACGTATTTTATAATGTTAGCTTCAAATAATACTAATAGCCTAATTTAAAGATAAGGCAGCATTGGATCTGGACGGTAAGGAGAATAACGCTGGAGTTGGAAGAGGTGTGTCGCGATTCTGTAGGTTCGTGTGGCGAATCGCGATTTCGGTTTCATATTGCATATCGTTACAGCCCCAAAGTTAAGTACTACTTAGTTATTTTGGTGAAAGTAACTCAAAAGTAATACATGAGTAATGTAACGCATTACAGTTCTGAGACAGTAATATTGTAAGGTAATGAATTACTTTTAAATAACAGTAACAAGTAATACCTAATGTATTACAGTTTGGAAGTAACTTGCACAACACTGGTCACTAATAATTGAATTCACATTTATTTGTAGTGTGCTTTTCACAATTCTGCTTTTAGAGAAAGTGCATGTGTCTACATTACAATTTAGAGTGATCTGAATTGCTAGCAATGTATTAATTTACGAAAACAATGAGCTCATTTATATTTTTTATCACAAGTTGTGAATAATGATATAGAAAATGTAGCATTGGCGCATGCTGATTCAGAGTTGGCACCGTCTCTTCACAGGTGTTGGGGCATCCAAAGTCTCCATTAGAGGCTAGATCCAAACTGGAACTGGCGTACTCTCAAGTGACTTCTGGATGGGCATCCCGAGATAAAACAAAAAAGGCAAATGAAGAGTAGTTAGCGTAGCAGCTGTTCATAACATTAAGCAAAGATAATCATGTGCATTTGATCTTAAACTGGAGTACAAGGTTATGAGGTCCATAATGTAAATCCTTGAAGAGATGCGTCTTTAATCTAGATTTAAACTGGGAGAGCGATTCTGAGCCCTGAACATCATCAGGAAGGCTATTCCAGAGTTTAGGAGCCAAATGTGAAAACACTCTCCCTCCTTTAGTGGACTCAGATATCCTAGGTACAACCAAGAGTGCAGAGTTTTGTGACCTTAAAGAGCGTGATGGATTGTCAGGCGATCGAAGATCGGTTAAATACACAGGAGCTAAACCGTTTAGGGTTTTATTGGTCAGTAGCAATACTTTGTAATCTATACGGAACTTAATAGATAAAGGACGATAAATAATATAAAAGCAAATGGTATACTTTTTCATAGACAGTTTACTTTCTTTGTTTAACAGTTAATGCATTAAACAAAAGTGGTAAACAAAGACCATAGCTAATGAATACGGAGAATGAGAGCTGTGTGCTCAGGTGTTGCCATGTTCTTAGCACCGTCAAAATAAAAATCTCACTGAATCGATGCTATATCTGGCCACATTTGCATTCATATACTGCAGAAAAACAATATGTGTTCACACAGTAGCATCAGCAGGCACAATTGAAAAGTGAATTCCCCTTTTAGACCGAAGGAGAAATAAGGTTGTTGGTCGGTGGTTGAGGAGCAAATGAGCGACACTGTTTGAAGACGGTGATCTTGCTGCTGTATTTTTATCTCAGTGTGTCTGACACCTTCGGGTCCCTGCAGCACTGACTGGTGTCAGAGCGCTGTGGGTCCTGGTGACAGGATCTGGTCCGGGGCTGATCAACTAATCAGATTCCCTGTGCTGCTTCCCTCTAGGGCTCCCAAGCTTTATTTATATACTTCTGAAACCTTTGAGATCAGTGTAGAATTTAATTCCTTGTGCCTTCCACACAGTGGTGGAGGAAGTACTAAATCTCAGTACTTAAGTAAAAGTACAAATACCCAGATAAATATTTACTTTAGTAAAAGTAGAAGTAACACAATGACAACCATACTTAAGTAAAAAGTAAAAAGTACTTTATTTTAAATGTACTTTAAGTATTAAAAGTAAAAGTACTTGCATAACAATTTATTATCTTAATGTCTATTTTTTTTAATGATTAATAAAACATTTAATTCGAACTCATTCAACCTAATACTCCTATAATGATGTTCAATAATGATGGAAAAAAATGTCACCATTTCTGAAACAAGCTTGCAATTAGGCAATATCATGCTTATCCTTACTATATGTTAATAACTATGTTTGGCAGTAAACGCGATTCATTTATGGTGTAATTCTGAACCTCTTGGCTTGCCATAATCCTAACCAAACGTATATTACACATGGGTGTTTCCTATGCACATAAAAACAAATTTTCGCGTATGAGTTGCATGATAAACACACTGCGTGTGAGACGCATTTAGTTGATGTATCTATGGCAACCAAACGTCACTGGTGAGACAAACGTGCAACGAACGGACGGTCAGATTACGTTTTGGCAGGGGAAAAACTGATCAGAAAATGTAACGAAAATGTAGCAGAAGTTGTAGAAATGTAGTGGAGTAGAAAGTATAATAATTGCTGCAAAATGTAACGAAGTAAAAGTAAAAAGTATGCACTATTTATTCTACTTAAGTAAAGTAAAGATACGTGAAAAATGTACTTAAGTAAAGTAACGAAGTATTTGTACTTCGTTACATTCCACCACTGCTTCCACATCAAAGAAAGACACCTGAAAGGTTCCCCCACCCACTGAGACAGAGCAGCATCTCTCCTCGCGTCTCCTCTCGTCTCCTCTCCTCTTCTCAGCTTTCACTCCTAATCAGCTTCAGATGCTCACACATGTGGAAAACAGCTATGAGTGCTAAGCATGCACAGCGGCCCTAGAATATATTTGGACACCTGAGGCACATTAACAAATGTATAAATGTCATTGCGTTGTATAGCAACTCTTCAAACCAAGTGGCATTTATTTTAAAAAAGGGTAGCTCAAGCACACTTTTTAAGAAATCCTTCCATACATTGATGTTAAAAATAAGACAAACTAAAAATAAAGTCCTGTATCCTGTAAATTCCAGTGGGAATCTTTGCTTCTACTATCATTAAAGTTTGTTGAACTGACTAATGCTTTTTACTTTTTATTAATATGTGTTCTTGGTCTGATCAGTCCCTCCAGAAAAAACGCGATTATGCGATCGCTGAATTCAATGCAAAATCAGCCAAAGTCCGCATGTTTATGCGGGGGCCGCATTTTTTTCAAATACGTCGCACTTTCGCCGCATAAATTGCCGATTTCCGTGCAAAATATGGTTTGCATAATTTCATAATCCTCGCTGCAAAAAAAGTTTCGTTGCAAAAAAAAGTCACATGTATCTTAGCAGAAAGTTGAAAAATGTTGCGTTTGCTTCACACAAGAGCAGCCATTTACCCCTGTTTCCATGGGAACGTTATGAAGTGACGCAATTACGCGACGCCAGACAGACTCACGGAGGCGATTGACATCTCACAAGTCGAACTCGTATAACTGTCTGTCACACGTTCTACCGTCACATCGTTACTTAATAAACGACATAAGATAAAAGAAGTGTAGCATCAAACAGAAATTACCCGCACACATGGGCTGTTCGAGGCGCACATATAACACTGCGGAGAGTTCAACAGGGAGCGCGCAGCTCTTAAAGGGGCCACACCTTATTTACACTCGTTACAGTCTGAAATAAAACAAGATGAGAAATTAAATATTCCCAGCACTTTCTATAATGTAGTATGCTTGCTTATCAAAGGAAGTAATAAGAAATGACTCTTACATTAGCCTAGTGAGAACATGATGTTGGGGGAATCACTTTTTTTTCTCTTTCTCTTTTTCATCAAACCGCAATTTTTGCAAGTTCCCTCAATTTTTGCAAATTCCTGCAATTTCATTGCATAAATATCCCGCATATTCCATTGCATTTTAAAAGAAAACGGGCCGCGTAATCAATCAATTTTTGCCCGCAACAATCACAAAAAAACTCTGCGTTTTTCTGGAAGGACTGAAAACTATTATGGTAAATATTATATATAATTGTCGCAAATTTTTTCACAAATTTTTGGAAATTACCACCACAAAATCAGTCATTTTGATCGCAAAAATCACAAAAAAAAAATCGTGAAATCCTGGAGGGACTGTCTGATTGTTCACCAGTGCACATTATTGCAAATAGTTATCTTTTATTAATGTTTATTATTATTATTATTATTATTATTATTATTATCATCATTATTATTATTATTTTATTGTCAAGACATAAAGTAACACCAGGTAACTTTTACTCTCGGGGTCCCTCTACAGTTGGGAAACAGTATTGTCCTCTACTACTACTACTGTCGTAAACTCTCACATGCAGGTGTTCCGCTTGCGTCGCGTGTGAAATGTCTTCATCCCAGGTACAGTGGCATATATTTCAGCATGTCATATGAATATAATTTCATGGGTTTTATTTTCAACGCATTCTCACCCCAAGGCGTCACTTTTGACCATGCTTCAATATTTGACGTTTTAGGCGCCCTTTAGCGTCACTTACATGACGCGATCCTACGGCGTCATCTAACTGACGCTAAAGGAAAGCGTCAGTTAGAGGACGCGGTTAGGTTTAGGTGTGGGGTGGGGGTAGGGTGCACGCGATCCTAGGGCGTCATCTAACTGACGCTAAAGGGCGCCTAAAGCGTCAGATATTGAAGCATGTCCAAATGCTTCCCAAGGTGTCAGTTAAGTGACGCCTTGGGGGTGAGAATGGGCTGTTATTTTTTATTTTTTTCTAACGATAAATGATCGTGATGCTCACATTTACAAGCAAGCATCATTATACTGTAGTAGCCTAGTCTATTGGTTGTTTGGTCAAACATTTGCTATTTGCATTTCATCGATTGCAAAGTTCAAATCAGAACGGGAATGCTAGCAATAGCTAACCCTCAAAAACTAGAATATCGTTTACTAGTTACCAGATTGATAATTCACTACTCTACTATCATTACTTGATTCATGAAGATAAACAGAGGATAAGATAGCTCCCGTAACATTGTCAGGCAGACAAAAGAAAAAAAAAGAGATCCAAGCAATATACTTACTAGTCCAAAAGCATGACAGCCAAGTCTGCATCGGTCAGCCGCCCCCCTCCTCCTCCTTCGGCTCACGCCAGCTGGCCCAATGTTGATCCTCATTCTGCCTTTAACGCAATCACTTTGTCTTTTTCTCTTTTTGCTTTGCTCCGATAAAACCTTTGCTTTCTTGGTTTTTTGTGCTGCTTTGGGTATGACTATAACATTTGGCTCGCACGTCCGATGTTAAGGAAGTGGGGGTGGTGGTGAAAGTGACGTATATGCCGCAAAGCAGTCGAATTTTGCAGTTCTCTTTGTTCGCGGGTTACTACCCGAAACACAAAGTTTAAAAGTATGATTAAAAATGCTACAGGCCCCATCAGGCTATGGCAGACATGTCATTCAACGTGTTGTAAGTCGATGTACCATCACAAGAGACTTGGAAATATATTATGAAGGTTGAAAATTGACCTGGTGTTACTTTAAATTCCAATAAACGAATAAAGATGAACAATTTATCCTGTGGAAAAACTTATCAGCGAAAATGTTTTTAGAATATTTAGTCACTGATGAAACAACTTCCCACCCACCACTATCACTAATGCCTATTTTTGCTAATCCAGTCAGATTAATTACAATGATTTACAAATTACAAATCCCTCTCACTGCTTTATCCCATCTCCTCCAACCACATGCAATTCTGGTATTTTAACGGCAACATTTCACAATCCACTCAATTCCCAAGTCCCGCTTACTTTTTATCTATTTGAACATTCAGTTCCACACAAAAAAATAAACCTTATTACAAAATTAAAATGAGTTATGAACCGAATTTCATGCTGATCATGAGACTGCTGTTTTAATATTTCTCAGGTGATCTGATCAAGCCACTGATCCAATTAGTTGCAGATGGATAAAATCCATCTAAACCAACTTTTTAAAATATATGATTTATTGCTTCACACAAAATTATTAAAAAGGTGTAGGGTCTGAAAGAAAATTCATGTTTTGTATTATTCACCCTCATTTTGAAGAATGTTTCTGTTGTTTTTTTGTTTAGTTTTTTTTCAATGAGGTCCAAAACAATATTGGACCCTACTGACTTTTTCATTGGATGGGTATGAAAATATCATCTTTTGTATTGAACAGAAGAAAGTAAGTCATACAGAATTGGCGCAACATAGGGATGAGTAAATTATAAGAAAATGTTCATATTTGGGTGAACTGTCCTTTTAATGAATTTGTTAGGCTACTTTATTCTTAATGTACCTGGCAAAATGTGGGATAATTAATTATCTCTCTTTTTAACATTTATTCTGTCTGTTCCGGTTCCTCTGTGTCTCTCAGGCGGTGGATGCTGATCTCGTCTCTAACGTGACCTACAGAATAAAAACAGAAGCGGCTCGGCAGCTCTTCAGCGTGAACCGCCTGACCGGCGCCGTATCAGTCCTGCAGGCGCTAGACTTTGAGGACTTGGAAGCAGGAAACAGCACCTACACGTTTGAAGTGGAGGCGTTAGATCACGGAGGAGTCCTCCCTCCTGGAACGGCTACGGTCATCGTTAGAATCACGGTAAGGCAGCTAAGAGCGCATTCTGTTTTATCACGGCAGTCTCAATAACGGCATGAGGATCTCTGCTGGAACTCTAAAAGTTCAGCAGGTTCCAGATGGAGATGGTTTGAACTTTGGGAGGATGGACGTAAATTTTCATCGGGTCTAGTGGCGGTGATTGGATTAGAACTTACAAAGCTCGTCCATAATTTCTACATGCTAATGCTCCTCGCAGAAGCTCAGTTGACTCTGTTCCAGGAATGCCTACAAAAGATTTGATCTCTAAATTCAATTAGTCTTGAAAAAGAAACCCCTACAGTATGTTGGCAGGATTGTGGGCGTTGTTTACTGGATCCTCGCCTGCGTTTCCTACTTTCTCGTTGTGATATTTCTGGTTGACGGTGACAGGAGTGACAGACAAAGCTCTGCGCAGGTTCTGATGTTAGCCTGGCACCGCTATTCCAGGCCTGAATGACTCATTAGCTTTGTGACTGCAATTATGTGAGGATTTTAACGGGAGCACTCTCCAGCGCCTCCGAAGATTAGCCGGGGGATCAGAACAGAAGGATTAGCCTCCTCCAGTTTACAGCAGCTGGAGTGAGTTTGAGTGTGTGTGATGAAAACTGAACTTGGTGAACTTCGTGTAAAATCTAATTGTATTAATCTCATGGAAATGTTGTGGTTTTCAGTAGCGATGTATACATTAGTTAAGGCAAAAGCTAACCCTAACTTACGATGGACGATACAATTACAGCATGCATGTTGGAGTTTTGGTCAGTCTTGACTATTTTTAAGATTTATAATTATGGAAGTTTACTATATACGTTTGCATTGTGAGCAAACAATAAGTAATGTTATATTAATGTTAATTTCTGTGATTAATGTGGACCAATTGACACACTTTAATATATATATATATATATATATATATATATATATATATATATATACAGTATATATATATATATATATATATATATATATATATATATATATATATATAAACGTACTTAGGGCCAGATTTACAGGCCAGATTTGGAAAGCAATTCCAAAAAAAGGGCCGATGGGAGTGAAGAGTGCTGCGTGTGATCTACTAACGACACACAAATTAAAGAACACAGAAAATCGTTTTATTTCCATTGACAACACAATCTACCAAGAGCAGTGCGAATTAGCATCTGGTTTAAGACATGCTTCTTTTGGGGTGGTGAATAATGGTACAAACGCCAGTAAATTGACAAGCACAATCCTTAGTAAATCACATTGCTTGATTCATTTAAATACCCCCCTCTAAATTGTTGCGTCTGAAAGGGAAACTCCAACAAATGCAAATGTAATAACGTAAGCCTCAAAAAAGAATGCCTTTTCAGTGCTAATTTTTCACCACCAAAAGAGAGTTTGTGCAGGTGCAAGCTGTTAGTAAATCTAGCCCTTAATGCCCCACAATGCACACATTTCCTGGTTTTGGCCAGAGAGAGCGACTGACCCAAAGCTGCAAATGGCTCATTAAATCAGCTTTGCTTCCTTTGATCACTCCAGCCTTTGCATGCTTAACTGTGGGAAGTTCACAGCAAATACATTCAAATGAGTGTCAACCCACCTCGCGTGCATTTATAAAACTAATCTCTGCTAATATAAAAAGTTTGTTTATAAAAGAAAGCAATTTAACAAGTTTAACATTCCTTTGTTAACTTCCTTTGTGTTAATTTTAATTAAGGGGATAGTAATTTGTCGATTTGATGTGTAAAAATGTACTATTAAAATTTTTGGTCATAATGCTATTTTAGCTTTTATTTGTGTATTTTCAGTTTTAAATTTTAGAGGAACACTATACTATGTAACTTAAATAAAATAAATTAAATAATGAGAAAATACATCATCAGTCCTTCTTCCAAAATCTGGCTTTGACTCTGATTCACATTGGTAAGCCTGTTAAAAGTGTATATATTTTAGACCTGTCAGTATGGTTTTCATGGGAAATCTCATGGGAAATACCAGCCCATTCTCACCCCCAAGGCGTCACTTAACTGACGCCTTGGGAAGCATTCGGACATGCTTCAATATCTGACGCTTTAGGCGCCCTTTAGCGTCAGTTAGATGACGCCAGGGTTCTCAAGTTTGAGCAAAAGCTTGGAGTGAGATCACACGCGGTTAGGGGAGGAGCCATAATGAAGCCCCGCCCAACCCATCCCTGCCCCCAATTTTACCCATTGTTCATAATTAACCAGAACAAATTAAAATTATAACAATTAGTAAATCTGATAAATGACAGAGCAATTCATCACATCAAATACTCTTTAATGCAGTATTACAAATATAGCTAACCAAAAATATAACAAATTGCTCCAAACAGTTTCAAACAAATCTTTAAAAATTGCATTTTGATTTTTGAATGCGTCTTCTATCTAGACGAATGATTTATTGTGTGGTGGGACATTGAGAACAAATGGACAGATTAGAGTGCACCACCTCTTCCACTGTCTCCTCCTCTAATCTGGCAACCTTTTTAGGGGGCTTACCCTTTTGTGCCCAAAATGACAAAATATCTTTCTGCTTTTTTCCTGACATCTTTGAAAAATACAAATGCAACATTATGACAATGATTAAATATTACCCAGAGCAATCTGCTGTAATACATCCTTAATGTAACTAGAAAGCCTATTAATATTACAGTATAATATAATTTAAAATAAAATCAGTAAATCTTCATTCCTTTCCATACCCACTAACATTTCTCTTAGTTTCAGATAATGTAAGATAGCCAAACTGAGCCTGGTTGCAAAGTAGTTGTAGAGTTTTTGACTGCATCAATAATAATGTACGATGGGCTACATATTAAATGTTCTAGCCCAAAAAATGTTAGACAAGCTTCTTCCAACTTACCTTCTTCTCCATCACGACACATGTGTTCGCGCGATGTTGTTGGTTACCTAGTAACGAACGTACGGTGGCCGAGGATGTTCCGTCCTTTTCCGTGTGTTCGCGCTACTGAATGACATGTCATGTATAGATCAGTGGTGCACGCAGCGCGCATATATGTTGCCTAGTAACGAACGCAATCTGGCGGAGATACGCGCTGGCGGCAGGAAACTTCACTTTGTTTGCCTGCGCCTCGTATACAACGTTAGAAAGCTTTCAGCCAGGACAACTTGGTTGGCATTGCCTTTTCAGCGTGAGAAATACACAGTGTGGTGTGTGAGCGTGTGAACCGGTCGAAATGCGTGTGTCTCACAGCCAATGCGTGAGACTTGAGAACCCTGGATGACGCCCTAGGATCGCGTGTACCCTACCCCCACCCCACACCTAAACCTAACCGCGTCCTCTAACTGACGCTTTCCTTTAGCGTCAGTTAGATGACGCCGTAGGATCGCGTCATGTAAGTGACGCTAAAGGGCGCCTAAAACGTCAAATATTGAAGCATGGTGAAAGGTGACGCCTTGGGGTGAGAATGCGTTGGAAATACATGTCACTCATTTACGTAAGTAGAGAAAAGTTGCTCTGGCTACTTTAATGTATATGTATTGTGTGGGACTTTAATACATCAATTAATACTTTGTATATACATCAAGTTAGTTGTCAAAAAAATTGCAGAGTGTATTAAAAATGGTTTAAATGAAAAGCTTAAAAGGTACACTCTGCAACTTTTTTGTGACACCTAACTTAGTTTTAAATATAACTGACATTTATATATATAAATATAAAGATTTATGTATTTATATCATTTAAATAATCAAAATTATAAAAAAATGTTGTAAACTTTTTAAAAGGTTTTAGATGCAGTTTAAATATATATTTTTACATTCAAAACTGCATGACCTTCCATGGCTTATTATTACAATAGTTCCAATAATTGATGGAAGTCATTGATAGACTTGGTGGAAGTCTGGTTTATAGACTATAAGTTGAAATTTTTGCCCATAATAAAAATTATTTATTTAAGATTGTTTCTCATATTACAGTGTGCTTTTATCATGCATGGTGACTTGCTTCTTATGAAATTAAATGTGAACCCTGGAGATTTTCATGATCTTTGCATGATCAAATGTTTTGTTGTAGTGTGAAAAAACCAAGCTTTGAATTGTATTTGTGCTGTGGCTATCCTCAGATGTGCCTTGAATCTTGAGATATTTACCTTCAACTTTTTACCTTCAACTTTATCTTCAAAGTTTGCATCCTGTTAGTTGTGCTGCAGTGGAGATGGTGTAACAAATTGTAATGATGCTTGAGCTGAGGAGGTGAAGGCAATATTATTAATGTCAGGGTAGAGTCATCATAGCTCGGCTTATGGGAGATTTTTAAGCACTTGTTTTTTTTTTCTTTCTTTCCTCTGACTATTTGGGAAAGTGTGTGTATGGGCACATCATCCATGGTCAACACCCCTAAGAACATTCAGAAAGGGTCACTTGACCCCTCTGAAGAGTTTCAGGGTTATTTCGATCTTGTGCGTGTCTCCAGCCCTCATCCCCCTTGACTCTGTGAGAAGAGCGACTCGCTGCATATAGATCCCTATCACTTCTGCTGTAGTTTCAGCCACTTGAGCTCATGCTGGGGCGAAAGGTCAGGTTGTATCGATGGGCTTTTCAGGTGGGCAACTCCCAATGATGAGATGCTTCTTGGCGCAGCGCTTATCTTGGCGAGTTTGGTATTTCATTGCTTCTTAGCATCTTAGCTGTGCAGCCTTGAGTAAACTTATGAAAGAGAACGTCTCTGGTTACTGGTGTAACCCATGTTCTCTGAATAGGGAACGAGGCGCTGCTTCTTTTCGACAAGCTTCTTTTTTCGGCAGAGAAATCTGAGGAGCAGATGATGCGCGCGCTAATATAATATGATGACGTAAGAGCGTCAAGGCGGTGTGAATTGTGATTCTATATGGGCTTCAGACAATTGTTCAGACACGTAAGTTTACAGGTGAAATGCAGCCGAACCTTAGAGCGTTTTGTCTTTGGCATCTTCATTAATCCCCTCGCTATCAGCAGACGTTCCGGGAGTCTCCCGCATATTGATAACGGCTCCCTGGTGACCGCAAATTCGTTAAAATTCGTTAAAACTTGCGTGTGTGCGCCTCATGACACAGATACTCAGGCACCGAATTCAGGCACCAAAATTTTCGTTTGGTCTGGTTAGTACCGTTTACATCAGAACCGGTTCCCTATTGGCATCGAGTTTCGGTACCCAACTCCATGGTACTTTGTTTTTGGATTTTTTAAACAGAAAGGTCAAAAGAACAATATGTATTTGAGAGAAATATTTTGTAACATTATAAATATCTTTACTGTCACTTTAATGCATTGCTGGTGATTTATGTTTTTAATTATTATTTTATACCCCAAACTTTTGAATAGTGAGTTTCCACAAAAAAAACATTGTTTTTCAACATGGAAAATAATAAGAAATGTTATTTTATTATTATTATTATTATTATTTTTTTTTTAGCAGCAAATCAGCGTATTAGAATGACACGCGACTAGAGTAATGATGCTGAAAATTCAGCTTTTCCATCACAGGAATAAAGTGTATTTTAAAATATATCAAAATAGCCTATAAAACAGTCATTTTAAATTTTAATAATATTTCACAATTGCTGTTTTATATTGTAATTTTGAGCAAATAAATTCAGCCTCGGTGAGCATAAGAGACTTGTTAAACACACATTTAAAAGACAACTTGGAAAAAAAAAAAAAAAACTTTAATGGACAAACCTGAATTTCATTAAATCCATGAGGTTGGGACCTATCTTTAGGGGGTGGGGGATTATATTATGGCAAAAAAGGAAATGTGTTTCTTAGAAATAACGTGCACTGATGAATTGTGCTCAATAAGACAATGCATATTAAACAAGTAATAGATTTAATTTTGACTTTAAAACACCTCGAAAGACAATGTAAAGTGCTATTTTACAGTGGTAGTGGACAGCAGTGAAAGACATCAGCATCCATGAACTGATTACTCCATTTATTATTGTGTCACTCCTCACTAAGGGGACGACAGCAGGACGGATCAGAATCACTTTGCCAGCGGGCCCTGCTTAGTGCTTACCTCAGCCCTGTTTGAATTTGTTGTTAATACATATTCTCTCTCTCTCTCTCACTGCTCTTTTCAGGATATGAATGATTTCTCCCCGGTCTTCAGACAGGCTCTTTATAAAGGGCTGGTGGCTCCAAATGCAGAGAAGGGGACAATCATCACAACTGTGTTTGCTGAAGATCAGGATCCTCCAGTAAGTACACAGTCATGAACACAGCCTTGACAGTAACCAATTCGTTGGTGCAAATTGTGATTCACTTTTATAACAGACCTGCACATTTTGGAGGTTCAGTGATTGGTTTCTGTCATATTTTGTACTTATTTTTTTTACATGATTTCGAACAAACCCTGGAATAACCCTAGAAACCCTGGGTTTCCGTAAGGATTTGTACCTTTGAACCTTATTCATCAAAACAATCCTGAAAAAAATATGTCACAGCTCTATTATGGCAAAAATCATATTCATGATTATTTTGGTCAATATTGTAATCATGATTATTTAACACGATAATTGAGTGGCCCATAAGATGAAAAAAAAAAAAAATATATATATATATATATACATACATATATGTGTGTGTGTGTGGTGTGTGTTTATATATATATTATATATATATATATATAATATATATATATATATATATATATATAAACACAACAAAAATTCACAAAAGACATCAATTTTATTAGTTTGATGTAATCCAAATCTTTAGAATCCATAGTTGTTTGCAAGAAACAACTCCTAATTCAGCCTTTTATCCAATCATGATCGTCTCCATCAGTAGCGACCGTACATGTCAAATCCCACGCTGGTGATGAATTCAAATTCAAAAATTGCGCCCTTGAGAAGCTTTATGTCGTGTTTTATGGCAGTGATATCAAACGTTCATTGGCTCTTCCCTGCTTCGTCACAGATTGCGACATGAAATACTCTGTGATGTTGGTTTAGTTCATTTGAAATGGAGAAGCGCGAACCGAAGCCGGATTAACATTTTCATTGATTAGTAATTTAATTTCTGCTCTGTACTTCATACAAAACTATTACAATACTGCCAGAGAGGACTGCGACTGCAACGCCTCATCATGTGAACGGCTTTTGGTATCGGTTTTGACATTTTCACAATAAATAAATTATTGTGATTATACTTGTCTGTTAGTTATGTTTTTCTTCATAATTGTAGTCTGTTAGGTTGTTTTAAGGAATTGTTATGGGTAGGTTTAGGGGTAGGAGTAGGATTGGTGGCTGAAAATATATTTTAATGCTATATTGTTGATAAAACTGCCATTTCCCAACACATTACATTTTATCCTTTTTTATATTATGTATAAAATGGGTATGTTTAGGTTTGGGATTAGGGTTAAGGGATCTTACATTTATCTATAAAATGGTAAAAAGGGAAATTCTACATATATCTTTATGATATAGAATACACGTCAATAGTTAACGTTTTGTAGCTGTAAAAACGCAATAATGTTACGTTTAAATGTTGCAGATACGTTTATATTATACGTTTCAGCATCTATCCAAACGTACCAAAAAGTACGTTTTCTATCTTTGCAAAAATGTAAAATACACACGTATTAACAATGAGTCCAGGCTATGTATATACTGAATCATGTGACACTGAAGACTGGAGTAATGATGCTGAAAATTCAGCTTTGCATCAAAGGAATAAATTACATTAATAAATTTGAATTTGAACTGAGAATAACTGAACCAAACTTTTGTATGGTATATCCAATATGAATGTTAAAAAGGAAAATTATTATTTTTTAATTAAAACAAACAAAAAAAAACAAAAAAAAACAGACTAAAATAAAAAAAGAATGTTACATTTTAACATTATGTTAAATTTTTAATATTTGTTTTTCAATTAACAGTAATTTGAAATGTATTAAGTGTGTTCCAAACGACTAAAAGTTTGAGATACGACTAGACAGTTCATTCATTCTCTGTGTGCCTGGACTCTTTAAACTCATTTGGATTCTTCATCTGAAGTATTCATAGTGTTGTATTACTTTGAATGGGAGATTAGACTCCCACCTGTTTACATGTCCCTCCGTTAACATGTTAGTCAGCTGTTGTGGATAATCGGTTTGTTCTGCGCTGTCACTCTCTTTCTGCATCTTTATTTGATTGATCTGACAGAGCCGTTTTACGTTTGCTGTCTGGAGAGAACCAGCCGCTCTTTCTCGCATGCTACACAACTCAGAAATTAAATTACACGCAACGACACAGATGTTGACAGTGCAGTGAATCCGGATATAATTTCATGTGCTTTCATCAGAGAGTAAAAATATGTATTGGGTTTTAGGATGCAGCCCAGCACGCCTCTACAACTTTTACACCTGGAGGGAAACGCAAGGCCATTACAGTATAGTACAGCAAAGATACACATCTCTTATTACCTTATAAATTACATAAACAAGGTTATTCACTGCCTGAGGTTTGGTTTATTCAGAGTGGCAGTGAACGCCAGGGGCTGGATATGCGCTGAATGCCTGTTAATGTTTATCATCCACAGACTGTAAAACAACAATATGTTTTGTGGGTTTCTCTATATATTGTGTGAGGACGTGTCGTTAGCAGACTTTAGGCTGTCATGAACTCTGGACCACAATGACATCTAAGTTTCAAAGTCTTCTAAATGTAGTTAGTGTATAAACTTATTTTTAAAGTGTGTTGATTTGTCTTAAACTTCCAAACTTCACAAACAACTGTAGGCGACTTTTACAGCCTCACTTTTTTTTTGCCATGGTCAATTTTGTTCCCATCACTTTCCTCTAAGGGAAACAAAGCTCACAGCAGGGGTGCCTGAAATTGTTTTCAATGTGTTTGCAGGAATGGCCTTTTCATTAGTGGGTGTTAAAAGGAAATGAGATGTTGCTGTTGAAATTTGTAGCTTTTAATGTTTGGCTGCGTGGTTGTTCGGTTGTCACTGAATTTGAGCTATGATTGGTGCTGCTTACGGTACATTCAAGGCAACAGCAGGGGTGCTGGAACCACTTTTTAGCCCATGTTGTATTCAACTAAACATTGACTGATTCAAATAGGGTCTTCAATGGGTTCATAAAATCGTATATTCCACATAGAAATGGCTTAATACACTTAAGTACACTGTAAACCCAAATATGTTGGCAAAAAAAAAGAAAAATAGGTAATCCGTTACATAAATAAACATTTAATTTAACATCTACCTTTTCTTAAACTAAGATCATGCTCCACTCGTCACCATGATGGTAACTAGAGCTGGGTAATAAATGTCGATTTCTCGATATTAATCGATTCTCATTTTACGAACCGATATCGATTCTTAAATCTCAAGAATCAATTAGTCATCCTGTTTCATTTGAATGAATGGGACATTGCATCGCAGCTGCGCACAGTAGCGGAGTGGCAATCGGGAGAGTCGGGAGTTTTCCCGGTGGGCCGGTAGTGTTACGAGGCCGCGAGGGCCGGCCCGGTCTGATAAAATGTATTTATTGGAAGTTCGCCATGGCCCAAGCTAAGGGAAGAAAACATTTTTTTTTTACATTTTTATAACGGAGCATATATTTGCACTAAATGCCTGTCTTTACAGCAAAACGACAACCGTCATTGAACAGCCTCAGTGGCGTAGGTCGTAGGGCGTGAAGAGTTTGAATGCAGCTTTTTGATGCGCTGCTGAAAGCGAGTTCGAATCCGCCTTGCCGAATTCTCTCTTCTCCCTTTTCCCAACACAGATATGTAAAGATGTAAAATGTAAAACCTAACATTAAGGTCTCTAGCGTTATATTTTGCCAACAAACTAAAATTTAAACCATATGGCGTTGCGCCATTATAATAACTGACATTAGAATAGCATCCAGTTTGTTCTGCGTGATTACTTTGTTCTCGCGATCATCTGGTGTTTTCTCCTAAATAAAAGCTCAAGGGTTTATTTTTTGCAAGTGAAGAAATTAGGACAAAAGTATTTTAATTTTCCTGTATTATAGTGTAATGTAGGTTAAAATATACTTTTGAAATACTCATTTTCATTTACACATTTATAGGCTATGAATGGATTTTACAGTACGTCATAGAAATAATTATAAATCATTATTACATTATTATAATAATTGTTTGGCATCCTAAAACACCACTAATAATGTAATGCAAACTGAGACTCTCATAACTAAAAAAATATTTGAGCCCTCTTTATTGTCCTGGTACAAATTAATGTTTTTTCTTTGTTCAACGAGCAGTTCATGGGTCTTAATTTCGATCTCTCAGAGAGCATGAGATTGATGCATTATAACCTTAAAATGTCCAAAATTTTATTGCGGGGGAGCATGCCCCCGAACCCCCCTAGAGGCACAGAGTCCACCCAACTAGTTTTAGAAAGTACTATGGGAAAGAACGACCATTTGTGAACTTTACTCCAGCATACTAGTACAACAAAGTTCCCTTTAAATCAGTAAAACTGTAAATGCTATAGGCTAATCGTGCCGGCGACGAGGGCCGGTGGTCTACGAAATTTCCCGGTAGACTTTTTGGTCCCACTCCGCCCCTGGCTGCGCACATCCAAAAAATCGCAATAATCTTTGTCCTTTGTTACTATTGATATGAAACAAAGTCTCAATTTTCAAATTACATCCATTTTCTTTAGAAATTCAAAAACATAAATAGTGTTTTGGCGCTGTGGCGTGAGATCGCTCTGGCGCAGCTCAAGAAGAGAAGCAGCAGCGCTGATCTTTTTTCCAACTTAATAATTCCAGTCACAGCGCGAAAGAAAGATGAACGAGCATCTGAAAGTGTGTTAAAAGATAGAGTGCAACTTATCGAAATCCGTATCATGTCACATCGATTCGCTCAATCAGCGTTTCAACCGTGGAAAGACGTCAGTTAAACAGCTTGTCATCAATGTCATGTATCGTCATATTTACCTCAGAAAACCCACATAAACTCGTTAGTCAGCTAGAAAAAAATAACTCCAGAGAGGAACATTTTGCTAAATATCAACGCATTCTCACCCCAAGGCGTCACCTTTGACCATGCTTCAATATTTGACGTTTTAGGCGCCCTTTAGCGTCACTCACATGACGCGATCCTATGGCGTCATCTTACTGACGCTAAAGGAAAGCGTCTGTTAGAGGACGCGGTTAGGTTTAGGTGTGGGGTGGGGGTAGGGTACACGCGATCCTAGGGCGTCATCTAACTGACGCTAAAGGGCG